CTGAGACATGGTTGTGTTTTTTTTTTAGAAATATATTTATGCAGACAGCCCGCCACGGTCGTGCACAAGCCGCTGTGAGCACAGACTTGGGATGCAGGCATACCTCTAATGTACCCATGCAGGTGTGGATCTCCTGCTGGATAAATGAGCACTGTGATACTTTGCCAGATAATAGGGAGACCAGAGACGATTCACACGTGCATGGAGTGTGACCTACCTACCTCTTGGTCCAAACTCTGATCTGCAGCATCGATGTTCCCTTCAATGTCTTCTGGCCTCTCGCCTTCTGCAGTGGCCAACCTACGTAATGGTACGTGGTGAAAAGCTAGACCTTGGTGCCCTAGAGTGAAAACAAAACTAAACAGGTAAGCAAAGAAAACACAGAAGGACGGTACCATTGAATACCCACTATGTTTGAGAATAGCTTCCTTCTTCTGCTTGAATCAGACTTCTGCTTGAAAATCTAGTCATTTATCCTTTCACTCAACAGAATTTTACTGTGGCCTGTTTCGTTCTGACACTGCCCTAATCTTTGAGGATGTACGGAATATGACAGATCCATTTCCCCATCCTCAAAATTTTATAGGTCATGAAGAAAAGTCACAGAAACAATGCTTGCTAAGCGAAGAAGGAAGATTCAAGGCTGAAATAAACTTCTGCAGTTACCCTCCTGAGGATAGAGCATAATATAATGTGATTTTAGCGGCCCCTCCCCATCCCCCCTGCCTGCACTGCTACACACACGGTGACTCTGCTGTTTCTTTCCAATACCTGATTCTACCACAAAAGTTTGATCACTGTAGCTCCTACCATAAGAGTTGTGCTGCGTTCGCTTATAGCTTTATCCACACAAATGTTGTATATTTAAGTGCGTGTGTGTATGAGAAAGAGACAGACTCCTTAGGCGGTTGTGTTACTTTTAATTATGGGTGAGTTCCAACTCCTTTGCCCAAGCGGACTGGAATTAGACAGCAGGAAAGAGAGCAACACTGTACGTGGCCTGGGAGGAGGGCTGCTGACGGAGGGTAGAACTCCTCTCCAGATCGTGGCTGGGATTTCTCCATCCAATACACCCTTCTCTTTCTTCTCTACTCCCAGGAATTTCTCATGAACGATTCAGGGGCCAGAAGAAATCTTTCTTCACATCTGTAGAGTTTCATTCCAAGCATAGGATTCATATTCTGGAATGAGTAGCTTGTTGCCTTGAACACATTAGCCCCTGGAGCTTTCTCTTCCCCAGAGTTAGGGAGCCCTGAACCTTCTTCCAGAGATTTTGCTGATCTCAGCTCCTTTCCTTTCTAGCTTAAGTGTCAAGGGCAAGTGGCAACTCAGTCAGCATTCCTACATCTCCTCAAAACAAGGACCTTCGCAATAAGTCCTACTGGTCCTCCATGCTGTGAAGCTGGCTATGCAGTGCTGTCCCAAGGCTGGTCCAAATAGGACTTTGATTGTGGGTCATTGTCACAGTTTCTTACCTAGGACTCTCCCCTTCGGTCTGGGTTCCCCGGCCGCTTCCTGCACACGGCTCTGTATTCAAGAGGCCAGGCTTAGAGCTCCTCTGACGTGGTCGCTGACTCATTTTCCCCCTGATATTCTTGCGAGCACTTCTAGCTAAAGGGCACAAATCAGTAGTTGTCTCAGTTATCCCCAAGTTAACTGTGTGAATAATATCCAGAGAAAATTTAAATTAGACTGACGGCAACATACTGTGGTGCAGAGAAATTGCCTCCGGCTGGGTCCTCCTGGGAGGCATAACATGGTTTTCACGTGTTTACTCAGAGTCACAGAGAAATTTGTTTCTTTGGGGAAACTTTCAGCTGGGATGTGGCTGGCAAGCAGTTTCCCATCCTAATACTAAGGAAAAACCACAAGTGTCTTTGAGAGTGGCCTTGCCCCCGCAGTACGCACGGGGCAGTGACGATTTCACCCCTCTGCGACCTCTGTCATTAGAAAGTGGCTCGTTTCCCCAGTCATTTTGTGTGTTACATCTAAGGAGAGAGAAAGTGGACCAATTTACTGCTTTTGTGGGTTGTGACCATTAGTACCTGGAGTAAATATTACCTTCTGTCCTGAGTGAACCACACTCTGAACGTGGTACCTGTAGCCGCCTGTCCCTTAAACTTCTTCGTAACAACGCACAGCCCCAGGGCCTTCGGCCAAGAGGTCAGCAGAGAAGAAGGGGTAGAATTACTCTTGAAATACCTATGGCTCCTGATACAGATTTTTGTTAACGCTTGAAGATTCCAGGTGTTAGTAGTTGCAATCTTGCAGAATCCACGCCAAAAACATACTTGACTTGGATGCATTACTGAAATAAGACACGTGGCAATTCCTTTCAAAAGCCAATGAAATGGAAGAATGAAAAATAAATCCAGGAGCTACAATAAATAAAGCTAAAATAAATCATGCATAAAAAGTTATGGGGCTTCCATAACATTTAAATATCTCAAACAATAAAGTCAGTGACTATCCTTTCATGACATGTAATTTACAAGATTTCCTCTAAGTACAAACTTGCCAGCGTTAACGGCAAGAACTAAGTACCTTGGACAAAAAGGAACTAGTATAGTTTAATTTTTCCTGAAGAGTAGAAGTCAAAGAACTTGAACAAAAAGAGCCACTAATGTTCTTACAATCTGCACATTTATACAATACAAAGGGGAGCAAATTAGTCTCTCCCTCATAAAGGTATCACAGGACAATTATTTGCACATCAATTTCTGAGGAACTTAGAAATGTTGCAGTATGACTGGGGCCTTTCTGGAAGCAACACTTTCATTAGCAATTTTGATGAATTGTGAATACTGCTTCATAATATCTAGTTTAATGTGGCAGCTTCTAAGAGCCCACTATGGGTACACAAGGACTTTGCATAAAAGAGAGCTAATTCGCCTTCAGGACCGAGCTTTGCCAAATTAGTGCGTTCTCCCCATCACCAGCATTTTATGTTTGGCTCTCTTTCCTTTATCTTAATCTCTGATTATAAATCTTGCTCATGGTTCAACTGTCAATGTCACTTTCAGTTGCCCCAGTTTATGACCTCAACTTTCTTCTCAGCCACATCCACCCCGCCTTCATTTTGTCTTGACGCCTCTCTTAGAGGGGACGAGTACTGAAGCAGAAGCACAGGTTAAGGGCATTGGCTGGAGGTGACTGGGTGCAAGTCTCAGCTGTGCAGCTCGGCTGTTTATGTGACTTTGAAGAGTCGACGCCACTGCTCCCTCATCTATAAAGGGGAGATACAAAAACCTTCCCTAAGGGGTGTGAAGATCGAATGATACAATAAATGCACATAAACTACTCTGCACTTTGCCTAGAAAAGAACAGAACTTGATGGAAAGTAATGAGATTAGATGTTTTTATTGTTCTTGCTCTTCTCATAGACAACCTGGCTTCCAAAAGCTTCCTTTTCCTATCCTTTCTCTTGTTCTACCCACGTCTAGCCAGGATGACTTTATCACAGAGCCTCCAAATCCATGGTCCCTCGGACATCCCAGTCTGGTGACAGGGAACTAGTTCATAGCCACCTCGGAATTGTTTATTTGGTAACCATTCGCCATCAGAAGGAAAACTCCAAGCCCACATTGAAGAGGTAGACGCCACGGTGTTGGATTTGGGGGCAGCGCGCACAGCATCCCTTAGTGTACACAGACGTTCCAGAGTTGTTCTGGCTCGCCTGTATCTAAGTGCTTTACTGGCAACCTAAGCAATTAAGGAACTTCTCCCCATTCTCTGATCCGTACTCACCTCCTCCAGTGCCCACACACCTACACTGAGAACTCAGCACCATGAGCCTCATTCTCAGAAGCAGGATTTGAGAGCTGGGTGTATGCTGAAGGGTAGCCTGATTCTAATATCAGAGGGCAGGGCATTGGGGGGTAAAGCTGGGAAAGGCTTATCTTAGAGTTTAGTGTACAGTAAACAAATCAAAATGTTACTCTTTCATTAATTTCTTTGTGAATCTCCTGGTCTCACTTTCTCCTAACAGCTTTTCTCATTAGCTCTAATCAGGTCAGCATGTTGCCTTACTTTTTTTTTTAAAGGCTTTACTTTTGTTGGGGGTTGTGGGGGTCCGTCACTCAGATTACCTGACTAGTGCTCATCAGGTGATCAGATTGGCTGATTAAAGGTCATGTTTCTGGGGGAGGCTGAAACTACAATTAGACTGGATATTAACGTGGTTTGGTTTGGTGACATGGGGCAAGCGACTCCATTTGGGGCCCACTGTTTCTTTTTTTTAGCAATACTTATGGTCATTTCCAAAGCCTGCACCAGGTAGATTTGTTACTCGTACGGGAGATTTTCAGTTTTCCCCCAGCAGTGTCTCCCTGCCAACAACATTTGGAAAGGAGGAGCTGCTTCTGACTTTCCAGTTAGCAGAGGTTTTACAATCAGGGAAGGCATTCGTAGGGGAGGAGAGGAGGGGTTCTCACGGTCAGATTCCTAAGCTGAATGTTGACAAGGGACCCTCCTATCCTAGCTCGGCCCCCAGCATGCTGCAGTGGGCTTGTGGCATGAAGAGGCAGGATATACAGTGGTGGAGGCTTGAACACGCACTAGCAAAGGCTCAGCATTGAAAACCGTGGGTCACTTTGGGCCTTGGATTCGCTCAAGGCTGGAAATCTTGTGCAGAACCCACACTGTCTTTGAATCACAGGATCAGTTACGGCAGACAGAACGCACAGTGTTAAATCACACTCTTGAATGCACCTGCAGTCACCACAGATGGTGACTGTTAGCTTCATTTACTTAAATTGTCAACATGGTTTAAAATAATAAGAATTTCTTTTTCCTATTGCTATTTTTTTCTTTTTTTTTTTCTGGCTCCAAATTTCCTTGATTGAGACCTATTTAAAACATTTCAGTCTTTGATTCAAATAAACTTCAACTCAGTTGACTGGCCGATCTCTGAGCCAAGTAAAGGCTTCATGAAGGCGAAAACACTCCCCACCTACAATGACATCAAAATAGGTTCCTGAGTGAAGCAGGTCTAAGTGTACTCAGAGTCTCTGTCCCATCTTCTTCAGAATTCAGCTGAGCTCTTCAAAATTGTGACTCTGCCGGATGAAGAAATCCCTACAGGCCTGGCGAGTCTGTGACGTGGATCATGTCTTTATCGATGTAGAAGTCAACTTCGGAGGCCAACTGAAATTTGCCGTCTAGGGCGGAGATGCTACTGGTCCCCACCAGGTTTTTCATTTTGTGTTTGAAGACAAGAAGCTGGATTCTGAACTCCTGCTCTGTGAGGTCCAGGAAGCCGGCCAGCTTGGCCACAGGCATGGTGGTGGAGAGCTGGAGGGAGCTGGAGACAGTTGAAAGCTGGGTCAATTGCTGCACCTCGTTGGGGAAACACCTTCAGCTGCTGCCGGAAAGGCTCCTTGTGGAATTGTCATGGTTGGTGACAGGAATTTGGGGCAGGAGTAGCTGAAGGGTTCCCCGTAGACCTGCGGGTCACCTTTCTGCGTGCGCAGCATCTTGTCCCCATGCTTCTCCCACAGTTAGAGGTGAACGCTCTCGTCACTACGCATGGGCTACCTGGTGAGAGCGATGGCCAGCAGTGCGTGCGTCCGCTCGTTCTGCTTGTTAATCATCTCATATTCGTACGTGGTCCTTTGGAACATGCTCATGGTCCTCTGGATGTAGAGGAGGATGTTGGCAAAGAGCCCAATGGCATCCTGGTAGTGACGCATCATCAAATATCGTATTGCTATTTCTTATCATAGACAATGGCTTGAAATAAAATAGCATGGCTGATACTTGACCTGAATCTTCTCTTAAACAGTCATAGTGAATTCCTAAAAATACAGACTGAGAAACCTTCCAGATTTCTTTCACTTTTGAATTCAGAACAGGATAGCTTTGCCATTATTACATGTATGTATGTATTTCTGAGTGATATTATATATTGTTTTAAGGTCTTATCTAAGAAACTGGAAATCCTTTGCAACTTGCTCCTTTGGGGTTTTGGCATTCTGACATTTTTGCAGATGAACAATTGCTCAATGTGTAAAGACCAAGCGGCTCTCTTTATTCAATAAAGTATTGTATTATTGAATGAATTGCAAAGAGGCAGTGTCCTTAGCGCATTAACTTTGAATCTGCTGCTTGGAGCAAAATCCTGGTTTTCTTTCAGATGCTAATAACATACCACCCAGGCAAAGGCAGGTTGCTCTATAAAAGGATTTGGTAAAACTTGGTTTGCTTTCATTATTTGTTTTGCTTAATAATGATTTCTTACAGTGACAGAGCAACTTTTTATCTCTCTGCCCATTACTGTCATCTGAACTCAGCTGATGTTTTTCTGTTTTTGGAAAGTTAAAATATTATTGATTATGAAATAATTCAATGACGAATACAGTCCTCTTCCAATGGCTCCTGATAACTGTTGATGGATATTTTTTTTTTTATAAAGAGAATGGAAGTAGTTACATTCATGCTAGCATGAACTTATATGATAATAGCTAGGCAGTTTAACACAGTAGAGAGATTATTTGACTAGGGGTAGATAGAGCTATTTACTTGTTTCTTATATGAGTTGGCGTTTATCTACTTATTCGTTGGGTGATCTTGAATAAGTCACTTTAACCTCCTGTAATCTCAGTTTCTGTAAGTGTGGATGAGAATTCTGCATCAACAGCATTCTGAAGTTGTGAGATGAAATCAATGGAAGAATCATGAAAGTGCATCATTAACTATACAGGACTGCATACGTGCAAGTTAGTATTGTTCAATGTTTGTACTAACTTGTGTTCTCATATTGTCAGGAGAACTTGAAAAGTGCTTCCTTGAACTTTATTAAGAAATTCTCAAGAATTAACTTTTTGAAGCAATTTGATATAGTCCACCCTAGGATTCCAGAAACTTGAGTTAGATTTCTCACTCTTTCACTCAATTGGTCTGAAGCCTTAGACAAGCCTACATTTCTCTGCCTTCAGTAAAATTAACCCTTCCTTTGTCCCCCACTGAACTATGGTGACTATAGTAGGTTTTGAGAGATGAAGTTCGAAGAGACCTGAATCTGTAAGCCCTGAATGTTAGTAGTTCGGGATAATAACGCTGATAAATGTTACGAGTGAGAACCAAGGGAGTACGATTATTACCTTTTATGAATCTCCCAAGGTTGCTCGTAGGAACGTTCGTTCATTCTTTTGTACTGAAAGTGCTGACTGTGGCGTAAAAGAGCTGCCAAATAAAGACAACTTTCAAATCACAGACGGCGTATGAGCGAGAGCCACGTCTGGAACACTAAAACCACACTAGGTATTCTGAGGGTGGGAGTTTAACACAAGAAGGGGCTACACGGGTAATGACAGAATGAAAGAACAGAATGAAGCCCTGAGGAGATACGAGGGGGCGGCACCTCCTGGGCTTGTCACCCCTGAGGGGAAGGGACAAGACCCCAGTTCTTGTCTTACCTGAAAGAGAAGATTCAGACGGCAGACAGAAGCCTTGTGTATGCTCAAGGAGCAAAGAGCGGAGCACAGAATTGTCAGAGCTGGCGGCTTTGAAGACCTGGAGCTCCAAGCACTGAGGAGGGATGTGCAAGCTCCTGGGGGTGCTGGTTCCGAGATGACTGAAGGATCCTAGGGATGGAGCCAATTTCTACTGCTAGACTGAAATGTATCACTGAGGGAAAGCTGATGGGAATAACAAGAAAACAGGAAAAAGTCACTTCACCCTTCTTCCAGTCTTCCATTCTCTGTCTAGTCCTCCCTACTGGCAAAGAAGAAACGTAGTTTTCACTGTGCCAAACCCCAGCTTCACAAAAGAGTCTGGAAGGGTGAATCTGGAGTGGAGAGACAGCAGTTGAGTAAGTGGCCCGTTACAGTTTTATGGAGAAGTAGCCGTTTATAATCTCAGGCATGTGGTCATAAATAGTTTATTTTTGATGGGGAAGGAAAAAGAATGGCAAAGTGACTGGAGCCAACTCATCTTCCCCTTATTGTGGCAGTGATGATAACTTCCCACACGACGTACCCAGTCCCATGTGATTCAGCCTTGAAACTCCAAGCACTTAGAAGAACATGTCAGGCCCCTTCCCTGGGCTTCCCCTTCCTCTTAGACTCTGATTTTCTCATATTCTTAATCTTTCAGGGGATTGTGAAAATGCAAGAGGAGACAGGGTAAATTTAGAAAAGTACCTTCCATTTTCCTGCAGCTTCCTGCCTAGGCTCCATGTTGACTTTTTCTAAAAGTTAAAGAATTTCAGAACTAGAGGTGACCTAAAGTCTTAAAGCAGACATTTTTACAGATTGTAAAACCTGAGGGCTAAAGAAGACATGTGACTTGATCTAGGCTATATTTGGTAATGAACTTGCCACTGGCTTCTGGAGTCGCCGTCCTGAGGTCTGGCTTGCCCCCCATAGCGCGCTGCCAGGCAGGGCTAGTAGTTGCATGCATGCCTGTCCCCCGTGTGCATGCTCACTGACCTCAGACATCACCGTGAAATCACGAACAGCTGTGTCACGATGAGATCCCATGGTTCCAGCTGCGGTCCTTTCCAAAGCAGACATCAAACCCGGACGGATGTTGCTTTGTCGTGTCATTGTGTCGCTCCTTTTGGCCATGACTATGATTGGATTCCAGGTTTCCATTGATAGTAGAATGCTATGTTGTGCCTCACCAGCTGAGAAAACAATGTTCATTGTTGCTAGGGCTGAATATGAAAATATAATTTCATTAAATTAGAGCCAGCTGGCCAAATCAATTCTTCTACTGTCCTAAATATTACAAAGAATATGATTGGACCTTTTCACATGTTGCAAAATGTCTGAATGTTTTTTATGTATAGCTATTTTGAGAGAAGTGTTTTTGTAGTATATATTTAAAACAATTTCTTGTTCTTCTTTCCAGTAAACATAGACTTTCATAAACAGTTGAGGAGAACTTTACAAATCCAGTAAGTTATAGTATAAAAATGAATTGCATTTTAAAAAAATTGGTATTTGATTGGGTTTCTAACCCTTCTATTTCTATAATTCAGTTCAATAAATTCATATTTATTACTTACTTTATTACTAAGCTCTAATAGCTATTACTGAAAGCAGTCATGAAATATGAGCTAAATTACCTTTGCCTTAGCATGTGTAATAGTTCCACAAGGTGGCCCACACTCAATTTCTATTTGTTACGCAGGAATTCCTCCCCATTCCATAACTGTTTAAAACCTACTCATCTTCAGCCTCAGCATTCCTTACCAGCCTGAACATAAAGGGTGTAACATAAGGTTTAGGAAAGTCTTTACAAAAGACATGGCCTTGGAATTGTGTGTTGAAACAATGGAGAGATGCATTTGTAGTAGAAAAGTCAACATGACTCTGAAAAGTGACATAGAATGAATGTGACACGGGAGGGAATGGGGTGGGGCACAGCCATTAAAAGAATGACACACAATTAGCACCAGGGTGGTGGAAGAGTCAACGCTCAGTTGTCTTTGAGTTTCACTCTACGCTCATTGAAATACAGTAACATGCTAAGTGGCCCTCCCACAGGTGCCAGGACAGCTCCCAGGCTGACCATACAAAGTCAAGGGGTGAGTGATGGCCCAGTTCCTGGGACTCCCCGCTCCTTCCCCGAAGTGGTTGGAATAGTCCCCTCACGTGCTAGCGAATGACGTTACGGAGCCCATGACACCTACAACCCCCACAGCTCGCTGCCGCTGTCCCTGCGCAGTAAGATGACCTGCACTCTGTCTGTGGAGTGTGGATCTACTTTTACTCTAAACTGAGCACCTAAGCCCCACACCTCGTGGCCTCTCTCTTGCCTCCTAAGCAGGCTGTACTCTGTCTATGGAGTATGTAGCTCTCTGAATAAATCTGCCTTTATTCAACTGTGGCTCACACTTGAATTCTTTCCTGTGCGAAGCCAACAAGGACCCACACTTGGCGGGGCCCTTCCCAGGGACTCAGCCAAGACCTGGGACACGGCCATTCTCTGGCCCCATATTTTTTCCTGTATCAAATTAAGGGAACTGCACTGGTGGGGTGGAAATCCAGGAAGAAATGTCTATAGCCAATTGGATAAACACATCTGAAGCACATGAGACAGATCTTGACTGAAGAGGAAGACTTGGCAGTTAGATGTCATTAAAATCACGGGAGTAGTTACAACTACCAAAGAAGAATTGGAAAAGAAAAAAAAAAAGCCAAAGACAGAATCCTGAAAACCACCACCATACTGGGTGAAAAGAGAAAGAGAAGCCAGCTGAAGGGTCTCTGAAGAACGGCTTCAGGAGGAGCACCAAAGCTGGCATGCCCCGGGGCAGGGCTGAGGAGTCCGGTCTCTGCTGTGCTACATGGCACGTCGGGACTGTGTGTCCTAGCAACGCAGGGAGGGGAGTGGGGCCCAGCACCTTCTCCCCAAGGGGATAGGAAAACTGGGACCACTCACTCAGCTGTCGTTGATAGTTCTAGAGAGGATGGCAGGGTGTGTTAAACATAGTATACGAAGAATACAATATTCTGCATGCTAATTCTGAAAAGGTGTTTAATCTGTGAAATTAATAAAGACAGAAAATATCCTGGTATCAGTCAATATTTGGGAGTCAAGTGCTCTAGTGACCATCCTTGGCAATTTCATCCACATGTGGCAAAACCCTAGCAGAAAACCAGGGATGCAGGAACAGGCTCTATCTTGGGAGCTTAGCACAAATGGAGCAGGACCCCAGCACCTCAGCCAGTGAACCGGGATTCGATTGTGGAGAAGAGACTGAGGAATATCACCGGGCAACCGAGCAGTATTGAGACCTGAGACTGGGTCTGAAACCCAGTGCCGACAACCAGTCCTGTATGGGAAAAGGAAGGTTAAAATTTTGTTCTCCGGATACTCCATGCAACACCATGAACATTTATTTTAATGCAGACTCCACCAGTAAGCTTTTAAAATACGAATTTAATGCAACCCAGTTAATAACAAATTGACAACACGGAACTTTACTGCTACCCAAATTGCAGATGTATGACATTTACACACCTCCTTCAGCTCAAAAACTACTTTCTTTAGAAGAAATACACATAAAGGAAATGAGCTAGGGGGCTTAAGTAAAATTATTGGATCCATGAAGGCAATAAGTCTTGCACATTACTCTTTAAGGTGTAATTTTCTCAATTATTCTCAGAGATACCAGGTTTATACTCAGAATAAAAAAAAGCTTTAGTTCTAGTGAAAAACATAAAATTATTTAAAAAGGAAGAAAATATAGCCTACTGAATGTATTCAAATAGAATAGATATATTTGTTTAAGGCAAGCCATTTTAATTAAAATTTTTGATGATTATAGGCAGATATACTGGGGTAGTGAGGCAATTAGCCTTTTGAAAAAGCCAAATAAGTAAGAGTTTACTTTTTGAGCAGGAAACCCTCAAGTACAAAGAAGACATTTTGAAGCCAACCTGTGTTACTGAATACAAGTTCATGTCCTGATGCACAGTGAGGCCAAACTGAAACGTCTTGAGTTCGGAGCATCAACAATTTGATTGCAGAACTGAGCGAGGAGAATGGGTGGCTCATGCTAAAAAAAAAAAACAGAAATCCCAGACTCCCTGAAGGGTTTCAGCAAAGCAGTTTTGAAATCCAGGTGAGGGAGGGGGGTCGCAGAGTATGTGATCAGCTCGTGCACAATTCTCTGATTGGTTGATGGTGAGGTAATGGGACGGTGTCATAGGAGTTAACATGATTAGTCCTTAGGTGCCTGTAGGTCTGGGGGCTCATGATCATCAAGTAGTTAATCTCTTCCATTTGATGGGGGTTTTAGCACCTGTAAAACAACTCAGGAAGCGTGCATCAGGTACTGCCATCAGGGGACTTCAGAGAGGAGCTACAGCAGAGGATATGGGGGAAGGGAAGAGGTCTATGCTGGGAAGGCCCTGTAGGGTGCTGCTCGGTTACACCAGTTTGCATCAGAAGTGTTGATCAAGTTCGTTACAGAAGTATGAGGAAAATTGCTGATTTTATCTTGCTTGCTACACCACCAGCAAATACACATATTATCAAGTCTCTTAGGTAGACTAAGGAAAGTATGATTGTTTATTTAGTATGACTGCCTATTTAAATTCCAAAATAAATCTAGCTTCCCACCCCTGAAATTAGCCATTTTTTGACTTCCAAAATAAGCTAAACAAATAGTTCATGAGAAGATATTCTAGTAGCTTTGACAGCGTAAATCATCAAAACAATCTGTAGCGTATTGACGTATGCTTTTGTTTGTAAAGATTTATTTATTTTATAGAATTGAAAGTACACCCTCTAAACATCATTTTTGAGGTTAAAAAATTAAATCTGTGAAGCAAAGATACTTGGCTGTTCCCCATCTGTCTGCTTTCTGTCTCATTGTACTCACGTCTGCTATGTACTCATGAAAAAGAAATCCTTTGTGCCACATTTTACTTTATATGCCATGTATAGGAAAAATAAATTTTTGGCATCTGACTTGACAAGGAAGAGCCATATTGTTTTACTGTGGTAAAGCTCACTTGTATCCTAATAGTTTGGGTACCAATGGTGGTTCCATTAGAAAGTTCTGTATTTTTTTGGTAAGTGTTGAACTCAGCAGAGATATTTTGCTTCATCCTTATTCAGAATTTAAAATCTAGCCATCACAAAAGTGACATCCTCAAATCTCGAAAAAAAATTTCTTTTAAATCATTTTGCAGTGATATGAGAACTAAAATATAAATCTATCCATTTATGGTACTGTATTAAGGATTAAAAGCACAGTATAATTCTGTGTTGTTGGCAATATCTTCATCCACTTGTACATTTATTTATTGAATGTGTACAGTGAACCACTCTCCAGGGTGCCAGAGATACAGCAGTGAGCAAAACAGGAAAAAAGAAAAATTCCTGAAATAATGGCACTTACATTTTAGGGGGTGGAAGTAAATAATCAATGAAATAAATAAGTTGAAAAATATATTAGAAGGTGATAAGTGCTTGGAAAGAACTAAAATGAGAATGAAAAAGTAGTACTTAGATTGAGAGGGCCTGGGGCCTGGCTCCAGTTTCAGACAGAGGCTTCAGGAAAGGCCTGACTGAGATGTGATTAAAGAAGGAGATAAGGAAGATGGGGGTACAAAGCATGCAGGTGTCTGGAAGAGGAACCCGTCTCCTGAAATGAGTGTTTCTAACGTGTTTGAAGCACAGCTAGTTGGTCAATGTGGCTGGAATTGAGTTTTGGAAAAGTAGGAGGAGACCAGGTCAGAGCAGTAAGACAGATCATGTGTGTTTTCACCCTGAATGCCTTCGTAATAGACAGACTGGGAGGGCAGTGGGGAAAGCGGAGAAGATACTTAGGGGGGCTGTTGTAACAACACAGGTGACAGATGATGATGCTACCAAGAGGGGAGGTTGAGAAGTTGGATAAAGAATGCATTTGAGAATAAAGATGTGAGAGATACACACATACACACACACGTAAATACTTACAGTGGAATACTACTCAGCCAAAAAAAAGAAATTCTGCCATTTGCGACAATATGGATGCACCTTGACGGCGTTATAATAAGTGAAACAAGTCAGCTGGAGAAAGATAAATACCTTATGACTTCTT